TGGTTTCGTGTCTTAATAAAACACTGTTATTTTATTAAACACATTTTGGTTACAAAGATTCATTGGGGAATCTTTGATGTACCTTGGAATATTTGTGAAAGATTATCTCTAGGACGACGGACTGTTCTATATAATCTCTAATTCCTTCTAAAAACTACCACTCGGATACGAATCAAACGGATTTTGATTACAATATTTTAAAAAAATCAAAATAATAAATTTTTTATATAATTTTTTTAATTTTTTAAAATTTTTACTTTAAATAATTATTTTAATATTAATTTTTTATTAATTAAATATTATAAATAAAAAATAATTTATTTATATATTTAAAGATTTATATAAAAATATTTTTGATTTTATATTTTATTTTATTTTTATTTTAAATAAATAAATAAAACTATTTAATATTTTTTAATATAGTATATTGTTTTTAAATTAAAAGAAAATTGATTAAAATTTTTTTATAAATTTAAATATAAAAAAATTATATAAAAGTTATAAATAAAAAATTTTTATTTAATTAATAAATAATTTGTACAATATTTTGTTATAATATATAAATTAAAATTGTATAAAGATTATTTTATTTTATTTATCTATATACAAATAATTTTTATAATTATAATTTTATTTTATAAATGGATGAATAAAAATATTATATATAATACAATTTATTGATTTATTATAATTTTATTAAATTAATATTTAAAAAAAAAATTTTTTTTTTAATATAATAATTAATTTTAAATAAATTTTAACAATATATTATATAAAAATTTATTAAATAAATTTGTTTTTTATATTCTTTTTAAATATCAAATATACAATATATTTTTAAAAATTTTATTTTATTTATTGAATTACAAATAAAAATGTAGATTAAAAAAAAAATTTGTTCAAAAACTTTTTAGACAATCTGTATCAATTATAATATATTTTTTATAATTTTAATTGAAATTATATCTGATGTCTAACCAATATATCATAATTTCTAGTTGATAAAAGTGTATTATAATATTTATTTTTATTTTAAGTTTTAAAATCTTGAGTTAATAATTATCCAATCATAATATTGCGTAATATATATTAATGAAAATTATTATGCAAGTTTTTTTTATTATCGTAATTAAAAGATAAATATATTTTTTTATCTATACAAATGTTTTATATACAGTATACTATATATTGGAATTACTATATATATAGTATATAATAATCTAAAAAATTGATACTAATAATACACACGGTATGTTTTGGGGGGTTAAATATTTTTTTACAGTAAATATTTTTTTATTTTATATATTCTAAAATTTATTAATAATTAAATTTTTTCGTGTTAAGATGTTAACAGTAAACTTGAAATTTCAAAAAGTTACTATCTCATTGCGTTTTGTCATGATGTATTTATGAGTTTTTTTGTTTTTTAAAAAAAACAACTTCAACTCTAGGTTGAAGCGTTTTGCTAATATATGACATGTTCATGTGTTTTAATAGAAATTGTGTATAAGCGGACGGAGCTCATCATTGGTTGATCAGTCCTTGAGTTATTTATCATTAAATGACGTTAGCATTTCGTAGAATGTTGCGTCATAGTCTCTTTCACTCGTGCGAGTATATAAATATTTTTCGACCACACCTTCGTCTGATTTACTTTTCTCTTTTTGAAATTAAAAGAATTTTTTTTTTTTTTTTTTTTACTAGTTGGCAAAATGAATCAGTCGCCAAGAGGTCAATCTTTTCAGAAAACGGGCAAACCATCAATTAATAATGACATCGACATCAATTCGATCGCATTTTTTAACGCTCCTATGCATTTTCAAATGTCCACGGAAATTCCCAAAATATTACCACCGCCTACAAACAACCAAATGTTACATCTTCCAACGCCAAAAATTCCTAATTTAAACATTGCAAATCCCTCCATAAATCATCAACTATCGGCACCAAATGTTAACTATCCGCCTTCTGGTCGAGGAAACGTTACAAAATCAAGGCAAATTACAAGTCATGACCCCAAAAGAGAAATGCGTTTAGAACGTAATCG